ACCCCAAATGACCCCAAACCCTTTTAGGATCGTCCCTTTTGGGTTTTTTTAGGATTTTTCCTCACCTCGTCGTATTTGCGGTTGATGAGGGCGAGTTTGAAGCGGAACTCGGTGGGGTCGATGGTCAGCACGCGGGGTCGGCACTCGCGGTCCAGGCAGTAAACGTTGTTCCCTTTCACCCTCGTCACGTAGATGGGCAGGTCCAGAGTGCGGATGATCCCGTGGTCGCTGTGGAAATCCCAAAAATTCCACAAAATTCCCAAAAAATTCTTATTCCCGAAAAAATTTCATCCTGAAATGGGCCCGGAATGGACCCAAAACTCCCCAGAAATGGCCCCAAAATGAACATCCCAAAATGAACGTCCTGAAATATCTCAAAGATTTGTCCCAAAATGTCCCAAAACTTAATCCCAAATGGGTTCAAAACAGACCCAAAACATCCCAAAATTCGGTCCCAGGATGTCCCAAAATTTCTTCACAAAATGGGTCCAAAACAGACCCAAAATTCCCAAAAATTGAGTGACCCTAAACTTCTCAAAACGACCCAAAACTTCATCCCAAAATGGGTCCAAAACAGACCCAAAACATCCCAAAATTTCTTCCCAAAATGTCCCAAACTTCATCCCAAAATGGGCCTAAAACAGACCCAAAACTCCCAAAACTTTGTCCCAGAATGTCCCAAAATTTCTTCACAAAATGGGCCCAAAACGGACCCAAAACATCCCAAAATTCAGTCCCAAAATGTCCCAAAATTTCTTCACAAAATGGGTCCAAAACAGACCCAAAATTCCCCAGAAATGGCCCCAAAATGAACGTCCCAAAGTGAATGTCCCGAAATGAACGTCCTGAAATACCTCAAAATTTCGTCCCAAAATGTCCCAAAACTTCATCCCAAAGATCCCAAAATTTCCCAGAACATCCCCAAACCCCACAAAAAGCCCCAAACCCTATAAAAATCCTATAAAAATCCTATAAAAATCCTATAAAAATCCTATAAAACCCGGTTTTACCCGGTGGGCACGGCGTATTTGATGTGGTTGCTGGTGGTGTAGATGAACACCCCGCTCTCGTCCCACAATACCCCAAACCCCATAAAAACCCCATAAAAACCCCACAAAAACCCCAAAATCCCATAAATCCTATAAAAACCCTATAAAACCCCCATAAACCCGATTTTACCCGGTGGGCACGGCGTATTTGATGTGGTTGCTGGTGGTGTAGATGAACACCCCGCTCTCATCTCAGAACATCCCAAACCCCATAAAAACATCCCCAAACCCCACAAAAACCCCATAAAAACCCCAAAACCCCATAAATCCTATAAAAACCCTATAAAACCCCCATAAAAACCCCATTTTACCCGGTGGGCACGGCGTATTTGATGTGGTTGCTGGTGGTGTAGATGAACACCCCGCTCTCGTCCCAGAACACCCCAAACACCCCGGAACATCCCAAAATCCCATAAAAAAAACCCAAATCCTATAAAAATCCCATAAAAACCCCATAAATGTGATCTGACCCGGTGGGCACGGCGTATTTGATGTGGTTGCTGGTGGTGTAGATGAACACTC